CTTCATCAGCAGTATCACCATTATCACAATCATCACCATCATCAGCACCATCACCACAATCGCCATCATCATCATCATCATCATCACCATCATCATCATCATCATCATCATCATCACCGTCATCATCATCATCACCACCACCATCATCATCATCCTTCATCAGCAGTATCACCATTATCAAAATCATCACCATCATCGTGATTCGCCATCACCATAATCACCAGCATCAGCATCATCACCACCATCATCATCATCCTTCATCAGCAGTATCACCATTATCACAATCATCACCATCATCAGCACCATCACCACAATCGCCATCATCATCATCATCATCATCATCATCATCAAGCATCTCGGCCCAAATCTTTTGGGAAAGCATTTATGACCCTGCTACAGCCATGCCTCGCTCCATTGCTTCCTCTCATACTGTTTCTGCGGAACATTCAGACTTTTCAAGTATGTCAAGTATGTCTGGATTGTCAGAATGCAGCGATTCGGAAGCGAATGCTTGTCAATCAGAACGTAGCGATTCTGCAGCAAATGCTGGCCAATCAGAACATAGCGATTCTGCAGCAAGTGCCGGTCGGGAATCAGATGAGCAGCAACTGCTTCCCTACAGAGCTGCTGAACAGCTACAATTCTGGAGACACATCCTGCTGGAACTTTGCTGGTATCACTACGAAAGCTTCTTGGTCACCAGCTCCGGAGGGGACCGACGGAGAGTCGCAAGTCGACTCAGATCGGCCAAGGAGTACCAGCATACCAAGTACGCTGAGGAAGTTCTACCAATCACCTGCTCTAGACTTCCACAACAGGCTGCAGAAACTTTGCAGCGGCAGTTCGAGAAGCTACGCAACAGGATGCAAAGGGACCTTCTCAGGAACGATGCCCGATGGATACTCTCCACCGGCTCTCAATACGGTCCCACGAGGCAACACATACTGCAGGTTTTATGCAGGCTCGTCTACAAATGGTTGTTGGCAACATTCGAAGACCCCGCCCTCGCCAGAACCTTGGCCCGCATCTTCTATGACTTGGGCAAAGGCTTATGGTACCACCAAACGCTGCACTACTTCCTGCCGATCCTCGCGGATGAAGATGTGGCACCCCTGCAGCAGTGGTACGCAGACTACTGCGATCAACAAAGACTTCAGCACCGCATATTATATGGCCTACAAGGCGAACAGGCGGATGACACCACAGCCACCGCGGAGGGGCCAGAAGCGCCAAGGGAGGTCTGTGAGGACTTTTCCCCAGATGCTGGACCGTGGGCGATGCCAGCGCACCTGGCGCTTCCGTTTTCCGCAGAGCAGACGACAACGTCGATCCTCGCGGCGCAGGAACCGGCTTCGAGCAGCTCGAGGCGCTGAACAAATTTTCAAGCAACTTCGAGTTCTGAGCAGATGCATGCGCCAGCTGTACAGGAGCCGAAAATCATACTCGGGCCGCTCCGGTCCCAAGTCCGGAGCTGACGGCAAACTTCAGAACTCTGAAGCCACGTGTACAGATCTTGCCGTTAGAGATGCGAGGGTCGGGGGACTGAGAGGTCGTATGCCCCCTGAAGCAACCTACGTGTCTACGCACAGCAAAGCAGTAGCAAACCACTTCGACCATAGTTCACTAGAGGCCCCGTCTCAAGGAATGAGCATCCAGAGCCACAGCAGCTCACGCTTTTCACTAATGGAGCCTTCAGAATCAACACAGAACTGTCCAGTGCGTTTTTCGAGAACAAAGCATAAGTTGCCGTTTAGACTTAACGCACTAATGGGTATCACTCTCCTCCTGCAGCCCACGAAGTCCCAACCCTTGGCCTCAGCCTCATGCAAAGTAAAGCTCCCCCCCTCGCATAATCCTTCACATGAGCGTCTCGTGAAGCGATCCTTGCAGAGGGCAATCCGCAGAGTTCAGGTACAGGGTCATGCCTGGTACAAGGGTCAACGCCTGACTTCGTCACACTCAATTGTCAGAAGTGCAATACTTCCGCAAGCCCCTAAGCCCAAGCCTGCAGTCAAGCAGGCCGCACAGCCTACCCCAGGCAAGTACTGCAGAGCTGTCACGTGGAACAGCGGAGGGCTCTCAGCCTTAACCTTTGAGGCATTAAAGCAGTGGGCCGAGGCGGAGTACACTGCCCACGAGCCTGTCATTCTGTGCATACAGGAAACACATTGGCGCTCGTCCAGTGAATTCAAGTCGGGCAAGTGGAGATGCATCTCCAGCAGCGATGGGACCTCGGTAGGAGGAGTAATTACTATGATTTATCTACCCTCCAGTCACAGCCACATTCCAGTCAAACATGCTGAAATTTTTCCAGGCCGCATGCTGCATGTAAGACTGGGAACCGAGCCCCCCGTAGATATTCTCAATCTATATCAACACGCCTGGAACCCCCACAAACAATGCTACCAACAGGCCGGAGCAGATCCCATTGCATTGCTGCTCCGTGACAGAGAACAAGTTTGGACGGCCACCAGGAGCTGGATCAACTCCATCCCAAGAAGAAACCAATTAGTTCTTTTAGGAGACTTTAACACAGAGCTTAGAACTCATCACCCCAACATAGGCCCTGGAGTATGCCCGCACAAGACCGCCTCCCATAAGGATAGGCCAACCTTTCAATCCCTAGTTGAAGGCACACGCCTAGTTGCTGCCAACACATGGTGCAAGGCAGGCTTCAAATCCGCCACCTACATTAATTACAACTCACAGCCAGTCCAAATTGACTATGCGCTGCTGCGCATGCCCTGCAATGTTCGCCTTTGTGCCCGAGTGCTGCATGATGCACCGATTGTGTCAGACAGTGGCATGCGGCACCTGCCAATTACCTTAAGATTTCCCCTACCTAAAACACCAAACAGTTCCAGAGGGCAAACCCTGCCCAATGCCGCTGCTGCCAATCATGTCCTGTCAGATCCTATCAGACAGCAGAGCTTCGTGGCACTGGCCAATACCTCCCTGCAGAGCCCTCAAACTTGCGGCAAAGATATCGACTCAATCCTGCTAAGTTCGTATCAGACTTGCAAAGTTGACCTGCCACAGAATAGACGCCCCCCACAGCCCACATATAATTTGTCTGAGTACTGGGTTCTTAAGAACGCTAAGCGCACTGCATGTCAAGTTTTGGCAGAGCGCCTCTCTCACTACTGCTGGTCAACGCATCTTATCACAGATGCTGCAGCGGCCGCGGCGACTCAGTATCTGCAAGCCGCCTGTCGCGCCTGGAGTTCCATTGTCAAATACTTAAGATACACTCGAGCCCTAAACAAGCACATCCGAGCTCACAAAAGAGAGCGAGTAGAAGGACTCATTGCCCAGGCAGCCGAGGCCGATCGCAAGGGACTTTCTCATATCTACAAGGTGATGCACACTTTAACTCCCAAAATGCCCAAGCGGTCCATTCATCTAAAGGATAAGACTCATGGCCTGCTGAACACTGCGCAATCATTGCAGTGCATCACAGAGCATTTCGGAGCGATCTTCTGCCCTGACCCTACACCCACCCACAAACAATACTACCTTAGCCAGCCGCTGCAGATTGCTCGATTTGAAGTTGACAATGCACTGCGCTCCCTGTCGGGAAGCAAGGCTCTGCCACGTGGACAATCGCCAGCAGCACTGTGGAAAGCTTGCCACAACTCCATAGTCGATGTCTTACATAGGGACTTCAACTTCATATTTGGGACAGGCAGGCTACACATCCCGGAAGAGTGGCATAGGGTGTACGTAGCTCTAATCCCCAAACCAAACAAAAGCCCCACCACACCGGCCAATCTTCGCCCCATCAGCCTTCTGCCGGCGATTGCCAAAATACTGGCACGAATTGCAGCCCAACGACTGAGGCCTTACTTGGAAAGCGCCTTTGCCAAGCAGCCACAATTTGCATACCTAGCGTCCCGCACAACCAGTGACGCCTTAGACCGCGTCCTCAGTCATTGCGGAGCTGTACGCAGCAGACTGCAATCCATTCGGCCAGATCCATTCGGGGTCCGAGGCAATCCACGTGGCCAGCTACAGGGCGGTCTACAGCTATCGCTCGACATGAAACAGGCATTTGATCGTCTACCCAGACACCTCTTAGAGGCCGCCCTGCAAAGATTAGGCATTCCACATAACCTTACGCAACTTATACTATACACCCACTACGAGGTTCGCTTAATCTTCCAGCAAGACTCACAAGAGCAGGAATTGAGGGCTCAGACCGGAATCAGACAAGGCTGTGGACTAGCGCCTCTCTTGCGGGCAGCATTTACGCTGCTCGTATTAGAGCGATTACAACAGTACTTGCAGGAAAAGCAACCCACAATCTACGCAGACGACGTACATATTGCATGGGAGCCCGACACGCCGTTGCGGTTCCGAAACTCCGTCATTCAAGTAGGCAGGGTCCTAGATGATCTTCAATCTCTAGGAATGCTTATTTCCACTGACAAGACTGTTGTTCTGCTGGCCCTGGGTGGATCTCAGAGCTCTTCCATCCTGAAAGCCCGCACCAGGACCATCAAAGGGGCGTCATATCTGATCATTCCCACGCGCAAAGGAGAGACCCTACTTCCCATAAGAACGGAACATGTCTACTTGGGTCTTAAAATAGGGTACCGCCAATTTGAGCGCTCCTCGGTGATGTACCGAATTCAGCAAAGCTGGGTTGCCTTTCAGCGATTGCATAGACTACTCATTTGTCGTGCAATACCCACCAAGCTGCGCATCAGCCTATGGCACACTTGCGTTCGCGCAGTCCTCATGTATGGCCTGACAACACTCAAACTTGACACACATTGTCAAGCGCAGATACGCAAGCACTACGTCAAACAACTCCGCATTGTTGTACGCAGCCCTGCGCATGTCACACATGTCACTAATCAGGACCTGCAAGCCCAGTACCAAGAACCTGACATCATGTGCGTCGTAGCCAAGGCCAGCTGCAGAAGGTTGGAGGTTGCCCGCCGTGCAGTAGGACACTTACAACCCCCACAAGTACATGAGCACTGGAGACAGCTATCCCTCACATTCGAAGCAGCCACTCAACAAACCCCACAGACAAGCGCGCAACTGACAGAGATTACACAGATGCCCCGCCGGGCAACCGCCTGCCCCATATGCGGCACATACTTTCCGAGCCTACATGCCATGCCGACACACATCGGTCGGACACACCCTGAGGCCAGCACGGCCTACACGCAAGACAAGTATGCAGTTAAGTCATTCCGAACCGACAAACACATGCAGCACTCGCTGGGTGGAACGCCGCAATGCCGGCACTGTTTGAAGTGTTTTTCCTCTTGGCGGGCCTTTATGGGCCATCATGAGCAGAGAGCCTGCCCTGTCCTCCACGGAGACAAGACAGATGGAGAAGCCGGGCAAGATCAGCAAGCCTCACATCCCGGTTCTGCTCATGGGGTGTTCGCACCGGGAGCCGAGGCAGGGGAGGCGAAGGAATCAGAAGATGGAACCTTGACTGCCTCGACGCAATGCCCGCTTGCAAAACACCCGGCAGCCATTAAGGCCATTAAGAATCGACAGCATGACGTTATTGCAGGACTCATAGCCCCCTATATCCTTAAAGGACATTGCCCGTTCTGCCATTACAAATGTGCCAGCGCAGCCTACATCACCAGACATGCTTGCCTGCAGCATCCAGAAGTTAAGTCCTCTGAGGTTGAGGTTCGTAGTTGGGCTCAAGGAAGGGCAGGAGTTGGAAATCCGTGTCGCTGGTGCCGCCAGCCCTACAAGCAGTCCTCTCAGCTGCACCGAAAATCCTGCCCAGTGCTCTGGTCCTGTGGACATCTGTGGAATCAGCACGGCCTTTTGCGCGACTCAGGTCAAGCGCTCATCGGCGATGGCGGAAGAGATTCAAGAGATGCAGAGGGCCCAGGAGGAGCTGCGCCAGTTCGAGGGCTACATGGGCCCGTCAAGCATCCTCCCGTCGACCAGGCCCTCCTCGGAAGCCGAAGGAAAACAGGACCGGAGCCAATGGATACAGACAGGTCCCAGCAGGACAAGCAGCTCGCAAACCGGGGCCCAGGCGCAAACCGGAGCCCAGATCGAGAACCTCACAAAACTGGTGGAGGCGCGAGGACAAGGAGGAGAAGAAGGAGGACACCGACCTTCGCAACCTCGTGAGGGACATGAGTCGACTCATGATTCGCCAGGCAGATACAATTGCTTATCTGCAGATGGATCTGGGCTTCATGATGTTCATGAAAACCAGTATGCACCCTCGTCTCCCGGACGGCACCCGCACACCGGAATGGGACATAGTTCCCAATCTGTTTGCTGTGGCCCAAGCTTGGAACAAGCGGAAGCAGGAGGCTCCCGACTCCTTGACAATGCCCCAGCGCACGGCCCTCATGCATTGCCTGCTGACGACCTTGGTGGAAAGGGTGGAAACAGCGGCGAATACTCCGGACCACCTGGAATCCCTTCAGCAGCTCGGGATGGCGGAGGGAAACACCTTCGTGTATCTGAAGTGGAACTCCACGACCAGACAGCACGAGAAGGCAGCCCAGGACCCCATCGAGATCGACACGGCCCTGGAACTCCTCAAGAAGATCCTGACGTACATCGTGTACCCGCGAGTATTGCTCCGCTACCACGCGTTGCGAAAACTGACGCAGGACATGACAGCCGATGTGGTTCCCTTCACATTGGAGATCCACGATCGGAGCCTGGAGTCTCAGGAGACATATCACGCCCTGGCCCGACTCAGCCACAACGCCGTGTGGCATCTGATAGGGGCCACCCTCCGCGTGGCAAAGCTAGGCCGAGGACCCCTCGAAAAGAGCATCGAGGAGGCGGCCAAGCATCTTTGAGCTCAGCAGGCTCGCATCTGCAGCAGCCTTCCAGTGCCAGCTCAAGTGCAGTAGATATAATCCTCTGTAACGCAGGAAATCACTGTTATGCCAATGCCGTTTTTCTTGCCATCCGCTGGTTCTGTGA